CGTTGCGCTAGTTCTCCATCACCTCAGTGGCATTTTTTGGTTCTCAGTCCATCATGTTCCTGATCCACCGGGCGTTTGACCCGATGGACGAGAAACTTAAACGACGGCAGGAATGTTATGGCGTCCATCCCACGAACTACAACGTGTCGGGTTATGGATGATCTGAGCGGTGCTTCTGGCTGTGATACATGCCGCTGGTCACTGAAGGAGCCGATCAGCTTATGTCCTTCTTCTATCCTTGGCACTTGATCGACGGGGGTTCTTGGACATGGTGATTCTCTGAGGATCCTCGGAGGAGCGGAGGAACTGGCAGTTGACTGCTAACGGGTTTTTCGAATGTTCAGTGACGTTCTCCACGCGCACCACAAACTTCCACATCCTTTGGTGCCTCCTGCATCCTGTAGGTTTTCACCCTCATTCACCATTCGTCCTTACGCTCATCGTATCCGCCCACAAGAATCTATCTGCGTCGCGGCATCGTTATATGTATATCTCTTCGACATCCCATCTACTTTAGGAAAATATGGCACCATGATATTTTACCTTCGCTAGCTGAGTTGGAGATCGCGCCGACTCGTTCGGATTTTCACTTGTGCCTTCGATAATATTTTTTTAAAAGTATTCGACCTTGCGATTCGCTGACGGCTGACTCATCAGAAACTCGCCTTGAGACTTTGCTTTCTGTTCGCCTTTTTTGCATCATCTCCCATTGCTCCCACTGTCAACTCAAAATTGCTACCATTCCGCCCTACATTCGTGATGGAAAACCTTCAGAATCCGTGGAAGAAGCGAGAGGCCAGTCTCACAGTCACCGATCAACCCTCTCCAAAGCATGTCAAAACAGATTCTGCTTCCTCCGTCGCTGTCCAAGAATCGGTACACTCGCTGAAAATTCGGAAAATCGTACAAGAATGCGGCATCATGCCTGGAATTCGTGACCGTTTAAAAAACAGTCAAGTGTCACCCGAAGAAGTGCTAGCCGATATCCTAATGGTGCTGAGGGTTACAGTCCTCGAATACAAATCTTCACACTCGGACTGGCCATACAACCTCATAGCAAAGCTCAGTTTGCTATAACATCCTCATTTCAGCGCCACAGAGATATATAATCATGCCGTTGTCGTTAACAGTGAGGACGATCCGAAATGGTCTGTTCACGTTTAATTTCGCTTTACCCATTTTAATGTTATTCAAATAGGGAGGATCTAATCTATAAATGTAATTACTCAAATTCTCTCTAGACGAACTAATCGTATCAATGATGCTGTAGATGCCGTAGAGGAATCGGATTCACCTCATGTCAAGGAGCAAAACAATCATGCAATGTCGACCAGCATCGAAGACTACTTGTCAGGCTTTTGCGACGTGATCTGTCAAGTGATCTGCCGTCGAAAAGATTTCTCGTTATGGAAGGGCAGTGACAATGATAGTTTCTTCGAAAACCTCCGTCTGCCTCAGGTCGCTGGGTGGCCAAGCTTACTCTTGCACGAGCTTGGAAACTATGACGTCGGCGTGTTCGATAAACTTTTAGAGTCGCTATTCGTTCATGGCAGATGCTTGTAAGTCAACACGCTATGATCACAATAGACCGTAATCCGATCTTGAAACTCGTTGCAGACTGCTAGTCAACGCGACGGGCTCTGGCAAGACACGGTTCCTTTTGGAAGAACTGGTACGCCATTGGGGCGTATATATGGTTTGGAATCGCGATACTGCCCGATTGGGTTCCGGAGACTTCCAGTTCATCGTGGAAAGCATTCAGGCAACCAAAGCCTTCAAGGCAGATGCTGTATCCGAGGAGGATTTCAGAGTTAACGAAGACATAGCGCGCCGGCAATACAAAAAACTCCTGCTGTCCCGCATGATCGTCTTCGATTACTTTCTACAGACATCCACACTAGTGACATCCGAATCGACTGTCTCCGAGAAGGATCTGAGACTAGCCTGGGTCAAGATCCAAGTCCACTCAAGTGATATAATCGGGCGGGACATATTTGTTGATGTTGTACAAAAGCTTGACCGTGCGACCGATGAATACCTGGACCGAGAGTTACGAGAGCGTCTCAACAATATCCGAAACTTCCTTCAGAACCAATTCCCGCCCCATAATTCGGAATCGTACACACGCATGTTCTCTTGTATCGTCGACGAGGTGCAAGGGCCCATTCTGCAAGCACCTAATGCATTCCGGTCAGGTTCCTCGCCCGATATGCATCGATCTCTCATGAGGCCACTTATGCAAGATTGTCGTCACATCCTCTCCGATAAGAACTGGTTCTTGTCCCTATCAGGGACAGATACTAACATCCAGATGATGGCAGAACACCGTGCATCGAGCCTGCTGAAGCTCGGCACCGATTTCTATCGGCATTCGGAAATTGGCGCTTTTGAGAATGCTGATATACAAGCCAGATATATCAAGAAATTCGCACCACCCGAGTTACATAACAAACTCTCAAACTTCTTAGGGCGTGTCTTTGCGTGGACGAGGGGAAGGCATGTGATGACCCTACCATATCCCACTGTTTTTCTTACCATTTGTGACACTTAGATTCCGCCTCACTGCTACCTTGGTGGAACTTTTGATCGTAACCGGATTTAAGTGCCCACACACGGTGCTAAATCGGTATATAAAGGTGTTTTGTGGTGACAACTTTGAACCGGGAGACGCGACAGACCTCATCAAGCTGGAACCGCCGTTGCCTGATTCAGGTGTCTGGAAGGTTCTCAACGTACTCGATGTTGGGTGTCTGACCAAAATAAGTACGCCTTTTCTATCGTATCAGGATCCGGGTCTTGACCAACTGTAGAGCAATTTGAGGATGTCCTCAAACCAAATCTGGTAGACTATGCGCTGACAGGAAAGCCTCTACCCGTGCTCTCAGCGAATGATTCTATGCTAGTCGAGTTGGGTGTCTCTCGATTTATAGGGTCAAGCGAGGATGTGAAGACGGACGAGCCGCTTATCTTGACCGCTATCATGGCTTGGCTGGAGCGCACTGAGAAGGGCTATTTCCACAAACAGATTATGAAGGGCGCATTCACCGCTTCACCAGACCACAATCCATCAGAAGGATTCTGTTCTTATGCCCTGATGCGAGCTCTTGGGGACGGACGGACGCTCAACGAAGTTTTTGACTTCTACTTTCCGAAGTCGACGCCCATTCCGGAATGGATCTTCCAGAAGGCTAAGGTTGTCGTTCCTTGTTATTACGACCATATCAACGGTATCTGCCAGACCGCTCCTTATTCTTTCCATTCCAGGAATTACCCTCAGGAAGGGTTCTATGCCAAGAGTGTGAAACAATTTCAGCAATGGCTCAATTTCGAGGGGCCACCACATGCATTCTGTTACCCAATTCCAAGTGCTGGACCTGACCTGGCCTGTCTGGTGGAGTTGGAAGACGGTGAAAAGGTGTGGTTTCTGGGACAGACAAAAGTTCGAAAGAGCGTCTGGATGATTACCAAAGAAGATCTCACTCATGCAACCCGTTCAGTCATACCAGCCAACGTTTATATGAATGCTAATGTGAGTTACCATTATGATCACCTCTGAAGGTCTCTATCATATTGATGGACATTTCAGCAAACACCAACACATGGGCTACCTCAAGCGAATCAGAACTTCCTGGAAGCACTTGACGCACTCGATAACAAGATTAACAAGTGCTTGACATCAACATCTGTGGCACATCATGCGATTGGCATACTTTTCATCTATCCAGCGTTGCATGAGATTCAACGGCTGGAAACGACTATTTGGAGTACGACCACCACACCTATTGCCGCAGTCAATTGGAATAACGTTGGTCCGATTTTGGACAACATATCGCCTCAGGGATATTGGACCCGGCTTGTCAAGAACTCTGCTGCCGCTCATAGGGAGACACTCCGTCAGCGGGCCGAGGATGCCGAGATTGACTACGATTCAACCGTTCTGATCCTGCAGAAGGATGTCATCACTGAAAAAACATGGACGATGAAAATGATGGAAGTTCAGCTTGAACTTCATCGACGAATAGAAGCTCTCCTTCCCTCGGAGCAACGCAAAACACCTACACCTGCCGGAAAGAAGAAGAAGGTTCTACTTGCTGCTCTCAAGGAGGCTATTGACCGATATGTACAGCGTACCACCAGAAAGAATTGATACAGCATGTTACATTTCTGGACTCGGAAATCTCGCTACGGAAGTACTGCTGTTCGTTGAATGACATCAAGCTAAAACCTGTAAATGACTTCCAAGTTTACTCAACCCCTTGGTCATTGTTGAGATGGTTCGCTTCAGTAATGAGTCAGTTGCCATGGCTTATCATCCTCCCATTGACCGAAGTCCTCTGTTTAAATACTGACTAGCAATTGTAATCAGGCGACGGCCCCAAACCGAGTACTTGATCTTGGATCATGGATTGTAGTCTAGTATGTGGAGAATACGGATCATGGATTTCCGATGAGAATAAGAGGTGTGTATTTGTATCAATTTCGCCCCACAATTAAAATTTTAAGTTCACATAACGTGTCACAGCAGCCTGTGAAATGAAGGTATGCATACCTTATAACAGCCTGTCACAGCACTCAGCGACTAGAGCTTAGAGGCTTACTACTAGTAAGCCTCTAAGCTTCTAATATCAACGGCTTAATAATTCTTCCAGTATGTCTTGAGGGAGAGCCATGGTCGGACACATCAAGGTGCAAGTCCTATCCTTCACTGGCCCCAGGCTCGCATTATGTCATTCGAACATCGATATCCCAGAGGATCGAATCGATCAAACCGCCTCATACACAGCCCCGAGCAATCTCCAACGATTTCTTGCTAGGTTACAGATAAAGAGTAGCAATTGCTCGAAATTCCAAATTAGAGCAGAGAACTCAGGATTGAGAAAACAAAATCTTACTGAATCCCGACTCCCGAGTCTGACTATGTGCGGCACTCACATTGTCACGCAGGAGTCAGGAGTCAGGATCCTAGGACCTATACGACATAAACATTGTACTCACAAAAAAGACCCCAGCGTGACTCGAACACGCGACCCCGAGATAGGTTACAATACACTCCACACGTGAATAACTGCAATCTCATGCTATAACCACTTAGCTATGGAGTCATCTTCATTGGAATCGTGCTGCATTCAGATCCACTTTGCACTCTTTTACTTTTTATTCGCATTTACCGAACCGTCTCTTCGATTCCTATCCGCCACAACCTTCAGCCATGGAAGGCTGGTCAAAACGATATGTTGACCCGCGCAAAGTCGCCAAATCATACAGACCTAAAGCTGGGGTAAGTTTCCCTCTCTCAGCTTGTCACTATCTCCCGTCCTCAAGATTCGAAAACAGGCCATGTCTCCCGGGCTCAAACGCGCGCGCGAACCCTTTCGTATACCCAACGCTCTGACGGGGTTTGTTTTGGGTGCATTCGCCGTGGGGGTATACTCGTATTCAATATACGCTGTGAAACAAGACGAGTTCGAAGACCTTGACGATGAAGTCAAGTCGCGCGCGACATCACTGGCGAGGATGAATGCTGGGCATCTGACAGAGGAAGAGGAGAAAGGGCTCATGGATGCTGCGATCACAAAAGTTGCTACAACGAAAAAGTAGAACAAATGTGGCGATTGGGTGCATGGCGGAAATCATAGTGTGTTTAGTCACGTTAATGTTCTTACTTCTCTCTTCAGTGATTTTTTGTCCATGAATTATTCCGGATGAAGGGTATCTCAAAATGCAGTACGTATATCTATGGATCGACACTTAACCTAGCCCCCAAACACCCGCTTTCCGAACACCCTCAACCAACGCATCGACATTCCCCAACATCGTACCAAGAATTGCCTTCTTTTCCTCAGTCGTCCGAACTTTTTCTACTGCCCCCGTCGTCTTGGAACTTGTATCAAGAACAAAGGCTGATCCCAGTCGGGATCGTGTACTTGAATGAGACACACTTTTCCCGGACTGAGGTCGCAACAGGCTCGTGTTCGTAACAGAGCTTGCTGTGGACCTATGCGGGCTCTCAGGCACAAAGTCAAGGTCCCGCTGCAACATGTGCAGAGACTTCGGCCTGAACACCGGCGAAGGGGCTCTGGCCAGCGGCTTCGGTATAGGCAAACGGTCCGCCGTCGTCTTTGTTGGAGATGACTGTACAGAGGACGCGACAGTCGAGGCTGAGGCAACAGATGACGTTGATGAAAATGATTTAGTAGAGCTGGCCGATGTCGACCGGGACGTTTGACCTGTAGAGAAGGTGCTGGAGCTCGCAGAGAGGGTTGTGCTTCCAGAGCTCGCTGTGAACATAGATGGAGAGGTCGATGCCGCGCTCCCAGATGAGAAGGAGTAAGTCGAGGAGCCGTAGCGCGATGTTGGACGCGTTGGTGTCATGTTAATATATGGTTTTTTCGATCGCAAAGACGCTGTAGCAACGGGTGTCGCAGGAGCAGTGGTGATGAGTGGCACCAATGTTGGATGCTTTAACGCATCAGTCTCCGCAGAAAGACTCTCGTCGAGTAGGTAGAAGTACAAGAATTCTAAGCATTTCATCCTAATGTTCAAGTGTCAAATACCTGCCACCAACTATGCGGAGATGACATACCTAACGTCACGAGGAGTCCGAGCGCGCTTGAGGATGTTTACGATAGCCTGGACTCCATTGCACTCTTCAAACGAGCGCAAGGCAGTGGAAGAATCGACTAGTATGCAAAGGAGAGCATCCATGACAATGGAGGACAGTGGCGCCTGCAATTCTCGGGTTTTAGGAAGGGAGCCAGATGGGTTTGGATCAGATGGACAAGGCGCATGGCGCGAAGTCAAGAGCAGATCAATGAGTATCTTTCAATGTCGTCAGATTTAATTGCCATCAAACTCTCCAGTGGCGACGCACCTCCATGGGGTATTTCCGACCAAGATACATTTTGCTGGCGGGGTGCAGCATGACAATGCCTTGAATAAGAGACAAGGAAAGTGAGAGCTGGTCCAATAGCTGTGATATTTGGACGCTATCACTATCTGTTCTTGTCATCAGTAACGAGCTAGGTAAGACGATAAAAATGCCGAACCTTCAGGTGATCCCCTATTTAAGAGGGTTTGAAGTTTAGCTGAAGTTTCTGCTATCCATGGTATTAATCGGAGTGGTACTGTATACAGGTCAGCCGATGAGAAGGAAGCAGACCAACATGATACGCACTATTACACTCAAATGTGTGTTGTAAAGCCACAAAAAAGCCGAGTATTTCTGATTCCTTCTGAACACAGATCGACAGTTGGCACTCTAGGCGCTGCAGGGCCGTCGTTTTGCTCGGAGAAGCCGTACGAGGAGACAAAATCTATCAAACTCTAAAGTCAGCAAACTGTTATTGGAGCAGAAAGGGAACACTTGCATGGTCCAGAGAGTCTTGTATAAGAGTTCGTATGTTTGTCAACTGATCATCCATATTTCATGAGTTCGAATCTGGAGGTTGAGTACTGAGTGCGGATTTGATAAGTTGAAATTCCCCTCGAAAGCGCTGCCGTTGTGGGTGTCTATTTGTTGACTTCTCCAATTCAGGGTTTCGCGCCTGTATCACGTGATGTATATAGGGTTAGGGTCAGAAACTGGTACTTTCCTGGGTTTCAAAATTAGTCTGTCTCATCAGTACCATAATGGCCAGCCTCGTCCGGAGCGTTTTGGCTAACCAGTCGCGCTCGCTTCGAGGACTGGGTGTCAGGCCGTCGCTTGCCTTGTCAAAGACTGCTCTGCGAACTCCCAGGTTCGCTAGTTTTGCGACTGCGAGCGAAGACGGGGAAGCAGAGATCCCACAGCCGAACGACGGTCCAGTACCCTTTGGTGGCGAGAAGGAAGGCCACACTGATTGGTCCAAGAGTTACTATGGTCTTTCGCAGCAGGCTTTCCCTAAAGAAGCTGCCGATATCCTACTTGCGCCTGTGGATCCTCTCGACATTGAATGCAAGCCAGGTGACCTTTTTTTGTTTCTTTGTTGCGCGCCTGCTTATCCTCATTCGAACAGATGGCCTCATCTACCTTCCTGAAATCAAGTACCGGCGTATTCTGAATAGAGCGTTCGGTCCTGGTGCATGGGGTTTGGCACCTCGTTCTGAAACTAACGTCAGCGCGAAAATTGTCAGCCGAGAATATGCTCTTGTGTGCCAAGGACGGTGCGTGCATGTGTCTTCTTCTGGGGGCTGAGTTTTTCTCAACATTTTCATCCAGACTTGTCGCTATCGCTAGAGGCGAGCAGGAGTATTTCGACGTTAATGGAGTCCCCACGGCTACCGAAGCGTGCAAAAGCAATGCCTTGATGCGCTGTTGCAAGGATCTGGGAATTGCTAGCGAACTTTGGTGCGCTTTTTACGATTAGATATACTCAAATCTAACGCTGCTCAGGGATCCTCGATTCATCCGCGAATTCAAAGCCAAGTATTGTGTAGAAGTGTTTGCTGAGCATCTCCCTACCAAGAAAAAGTCAGTACTGTGCACTTATTTTGTGGGCGTCTTCTAAGCCATCCCATTATCTATAGGAAGAAGTTGTGGCGGCGCAAGGATGCCCCCAAGCTAACTTACCCTTACCAAGAGTAAATACATAGCCAGTTTTTTGTACCATCTTACAGGCATGTATCGTAATGCTACCTTGTCTCTTGCACCCCACTCCCATCATAATTTACATACTTGCGTTCATGTAAATAATAAGAACAAACTGCTAGATCAATGATCCTGAGCAATTGACGCTTTGTCCAGTGACCGCCACCACCCTCTCACTCTTATCTTCTCACGATGTGGTCAGTGCCCTTCGTCCAGTGCGCACCTACTGTCTTACACTCGTCGTCAGCAAACACATTCTAAACGCTCAAGTGTCCATCCGAGCGCCCTGCTGCAAGAAATGGTTCGACTGTGCCGAATGCCACGCCGAATCCGAAACGCATCCACTGGCGCGGACGGCCGAGATGGCCTTCATATGCAAAAAATGCAAGAAGGCTTTCCGTAAGGACATGGCGAACTACGAGGAGAGCGACGAGTTCTGTCCGCATTGCGATAACCATTACGTACGTTCTGCATTTCCTGGATTACGGGCTTGCTGATAGATGGGGTGTAGGTTATTGAGGCAAAGACGCCGCAGGCTATCGTCGGTGTAGAGGGTGACGATGCTAGGATGGATGCTAGGTGCGCTTCCTTTAGACTTCGCTGGCGCTCCCTCTGACTTTGAAATCAGAATGCTCAAAGACGATCGGGTAAAGCAGACCAAAAAGCGGACCATCTTTTCACGGGATGACTTCGAGGATCGTCTGGGATGAGCGTCGATAACGACTTGACTGTTGTTTGAGAGTTGATTCATTCTGGATTGTAGCCACCGTCATGGTTCTGGCAAGGTCCTTGTGCATCGTGGTCACTGGTGCCGCGTTCAGCCATGTATATCGCCAATACGCTCTAATGTTTACTCTCATCGTAAGAGCCTTTCCAATCATTCCTCAGAGAATCTTTCGTTGGCTATCAGTTCTCTGAAGCTGACATACCTTCCTTTGCGCTCTCTTAACGCTCTTTTGGGGGGCCTACTCACCCAGGTTGCTCAAACTTGCATGTCGACATTCTTGAATGTCGGACTCTTCGGTTGTTGCACAACGTCTTATGAGATGACCGACAGGCTTTATTCTGCAGACGTCGATGACTTATAACATGGAGAGTGATAAGAGTGGTATATTTCTCACCCCGGCATCTTCATGAATGTGTACCGTGTGCACCGGTTTCCCATCCACTTAAAATCGACAGAAACGATCTTCATTCGTGTAAAAACAACATGGTCCATTTTCAAGGACATAGTCGGGAATTAAATAATATGATGAAGCGGAACGACAAGGATGACGCGAAAAATCACTGGGAATCGTAAAGCGGACGGCGAGGGTCTCACAATGGGTATGTAGTAGGTGTTACTCGCTCGCAACAAAATAACTTACTATCCAACGAGGTTGCAATCAGTGGCTAATCTCGTGCGAAGGTAATGTTAGCGGTGAAGGACCAGAAATCCGCGAGATGGCACCCCTAAGCGAGGAGCGGTAAGAGGGTGGTGGGGATCCAATGTGCATAAACTCCATCTGCTCCTCCATGTACCCCACACGATTTGTC